GAAATCAGTCCAAGGGCCATGTAGCTCTACAATTCTATTTATATAAATATTCAGAATAAATTAATTCACAAATATAGAACATAAAGCTGGGGACACCAGAGGCAGGGAGAAGGAAAGGGAGAGAACTGCTTTCCTTATACATTTGAGTGTAAGAAAGTATTTTTAGTTCTGTACAGGTATTGGCTGTACTGTTCTAAATGCCACTCAACTGTTTACTTTAAAGTGAGTGGTTTTATGTTAAGTGAATGGACTAGGAGACATAACTAATGATAAAATGCTTGCCTAGCATACCCAAGACACTAAGTTTACCCAAGACCACCAGGGGAAAAAATTAATTAGTTAAACTGATAGTATTGAAGCTATAATTATAAGCAACTCTTAGCATGTCCTTTACAAACAAGAGTGAGGCTAGGAATACAGCTCAGTGGTAGAGGTTTTCCTACCATACTGGAGCCCAAAGTTCAATTTCTAACACCACCAAAATGGAGATGGAGATGGAGGAGGAGATGGAGGAGGAGATGGAGAGGGAGGAGGAGGAGGAGATGGAGGAGGAGATGGAGATAGAGGAGGAGATGGAGATGGAGATGGAGGAGGAGATGGAGATGGAGGAGGAGATGGAGAGGGAGGAGGAGATGGAGATGGAGGAGGAGAGGGAGAGGGAGGAGGAGGAGGTGGAGATGGAGGAGGAGATGGAGATGGAGGAGGAGAGGGAGAGGGAGGAGGAGGAGGTGGAGATGGAGGAGGAGATGGAGATGGAGGAGGAGAGGGAGAGGGAGGAGGAGGAGGTGGAGATGGAGGAGGAGATGGAGATGGAGGAGGAGAGGGAGAGGGAGGAGGAGGAGGTGGAGATGGAGGAGGAGATGGAGATGGAGGAGGAGAGGGAGAGGGAGGAGGAGGAGGTGGAGATGGAGGAGGAGATGGAGATGGAGGAGGAGAGGGAGAGGGAGGAGGAGGAGGTGGAGATGGAGGAGGAGATGGAGATGGAGGAGGAGAGGGAGAGGGAGGAGGAGGAGGTGGAGATGGAGGAGGAGATGGAGATGGAGGAGGAGAGGGAGAGGGAGGAGGAGGAGGTGGAGATGGAGGAGGAGATGGAGATGGAGGAGGAGAGGGAGAGGGAGGAGGAGGAGGTGGAGATGGAGGAGGAGATGGAGATGGAGGAGGAGAGGGAGAGGGAGGAGGGGGGAGGAGGAGGAGACAACAACGACAGAGGAAATCTACTCCCTAACATCAACCAACATATTCCTACACCACATAACTATGTTACAAAAATATTCTTAGGTATCTTCCCCTTTCCATTTTTCTTAAGATTACAACAATCTCAACGAAGAAAGGATGAAACAATCATCATATACTGTGAAAAAACAAAATAAGTCTTTCAGTGATGATAAGGATGCTGGAGGAAAGAGGAGCTCATGTGATGCTGAGAATAAATGGAACAGCTTCAAGAGAAAATCTTCTGTGTAGTGAGCGGAGCTGGTATCCAAGGTGTAAGGGAAGAGGCTAGCTCCACTCCAATAGCTCTACAATCACATTTGCCAGCACTTCTGCTGGGCTTATCCAGGAATACAACATTAGAAGAAAAGCCTATTTTTGCTGACAGCTGATACTCTATCACTATTTTTTTTTTTTTTTTTGCAATTACAAAATGGACTGCATCTGAACAGTGGCTGATTTTTCCATGCAGCACAATGAAACTTGTTACTTTATCATTGTTTTTTAATCCTCCAACTCTGAGCACCAAGGCCTCATCATAAAGCATAGCTACAAAAATACCTTTAATAGTAAACATCTTTAAAATACTTTACAACTAAATTCTACGTCCTGCCAAACTCTTAAAATACTGCTATTCAGAAAAGTTTAGATCCAAGATGTTTATAAACTCTTAGGTGATTAATTAACTTTAAGAAATCACCACTTTCTGTCACACCACTAACTGACAAGATTTAAAAGATGATTTTTTCCATGTAGAGATAAACATTAAACACATTTATTCATTGAATAAATAAAGTTGAAATTAAAATAAGCACAATTTGAAAGAAGAATTAGAGCCAAGAAAAAAATAACACTATCAGGTTGGAAGTGGGAGATTAACATTTGGCAATTTCCTTGGGCTATTACAACCATGGTAGTAATTACTTCTCTAGGAACTAATAAAAATCTTAATTGTCCCAGAAAGTATTTCATTGTGTTCCTTTGACCCAAGTGGCTTGATATAATAGATAATTTTATAGCAGTCATGGAAAACTGTGACAGTGCTGTTCTGAGAAGCAACGACATCGCAGGTCAGCTCTTTTAGGGCAGACTGATTTCTCTGTTGCTGCTACATGTTCATTGATGTGTAGTTTTCTAATCCAAAATCGACGAGTGGATGGACAATTTAAATAGTGTGACTCAATTTTAACACAAGTATTGGGGTATCATTGCTGTTGCAGGGTTGGATTTTTTGCTTGTTTTTTGAGACAGGTTCTAATGGAAGCCCATATTGACCTCAAATTTAGTACATAACTGGAGCTGACCTTGTACTCCTGATCCTTCTATATTTGCTTTCTAAATGTTGGGATTATAGGCATGTATCACCACATGCAACTATTTATTTATTCATTCATTCATTTTTCTTTAAATATTTTGCATTGGCTTGGATTTTTTGTATATTGATACAAATTTGAGATTATTTCGTTACAACATACTATACATACATTTCTAACTATGCAACTCATTTAACAATGTAATGCAAATTAAAAGACAATTTCTAAATCAAATATTAAGATCCCAAAATTGTAGTAAAATGGATCTGAAAAGAAAACAGTAGGAAATCATAAAGAGTGAAAATCAGTAGCAGCATATAGTACATGCAGCACACTAGCATACTGACTTCCTTATTCCTTAGTCTATGTCACTTGGACGATTCCTTTTGGTGCTTGTGAGAAGAGAGCCCTACCTCTAGTTCTTACCTATCCATTGGGCATAGAATGTCAGGTAGCATTAATATAAACTGCCTCATGTTATATAAAAGCAGGAGTTAAATAGTTATAAATCAAATCTATTTTAAAATTATACTTCCCATTTAAAGCAAGTATTTATATTATATATGGTAAAGAAATTTTTTGTTATAATAATTACTTTAACCCATAATCTAGTATGTCTAATAAGCATGGATACTTACATTAAGATTATATCAAATAATTTATATTTACTCATAGTATCTCAATTTCTTAGACAAGATTATATATAAAAACTCTATTCTTTAATTTAATGATGTGTTAAGATAATAATCTTTGTACAAAGGAGAAGGATTCTTGCTACTAATACAAAAAACTGCATGCCTTCAAATTATTCTAAGAACCTTCTAGCCTCTCTCTCTCTCTCTCTCTCTCTCTCTCTCTCTCTCTCTCTC